CTAGAGCAAGCAGAACCTGAGGCGAGTTGGGGACTGTGTTCTCTGATGAGTGCTCTGAAAAGATGAAAGAGGAGGGAAATGCTGAGGACAGCCTACAGAATCACACTGTCTCAAAGAGCATAGTGGAGTTTGGGATGAGTAATTCATATAGCCACAAGGTTGAGAAGCCATCTGAAAGAAGGTATCATGATAAAAACCAACAGCATAAAACCCTTATTCTATAGTTGCAAGTCTCCAAAACTTGGCTTGGCACACAGCAAGCTAATAGTAAAACATGCATATTCAGGAGAGATTCAGGCACAGAAAAAGCATTCATTCACAAAAGCAACATTAGACAAAACAAATTAAAAAATCCTGGTTTGTTACGGCAGACACAAGAAAATATCAAAACTCAGCTTAGAGGTAATATTTAGAATGTATAAGATAATCTTTTCAGCAAAACAATTTAATAATTACACAAAACTTGTATATATAACAACAGTGTAAGAGAAATTAATATGACTAAAGTCATTTAACTTCTCAGCTTGTTTATTCACTTATATGGACTACAAATATCTATTTTCCATATATAAATAGAAGAACCAAGAGGTACTGATTTTCTTACAAGACCATTGTGAGATACAACAACAAAAAAAATAACACATGCAAAAATGTTTAACTACAGAGTGAAAAAAATATAAAGTGTTTTAAAAGGAGGAAAGCTAATTCAAAAAGTGAAATGAACTTCAAAAAATATCTTTACTACACACTGGAACACTATTTGTATGTAAAAACAAACCCTTGCCTGGCCAGGTGGCTCAGCTGGTTGAAGTGTCTGTCGCCCATACACCAAAAGGTTGAGGGTTCAATCCTCAGTCGGGATGAGTGCTAGAGGCAACGGATTAATATTTCTCTCCCTCTCTCTCAAATAAAAAAATCAATAAACATATCCTTTGGTGACAACAACAAAACAATGAATCCTTTTGAACTTTGCAAATATTTCTTGTTTTCCTTTAAAAAAGTATTTTAAATTGTTATTGGCTAGATTTAGTATACTGAAACATTATATTAAAATAACACATTTGTATACACTTAGAAAAGAGAAACCGCCTTTTGGAGTCAGATAACTTGGACCTGAACCACAGATCTGCATTTACTTATACATATGATACTGGGCAAGTAATTTACCTAGCTGGGCCTCAGTTCACCATCTATAATCTGGGATTAAAAATAAACCTCAAGCCCTGGCCCATGTGCTCAATGGTTAGCGCTTTAGACCTCACACCAAAGGGTCATGGGTTCCATTCCTAGTCAAGGGTATGTGCCTGGGTTTTGGGTTCAATCCCTGGCCCCAGTCAGGGTGAGTGTGGGAGGCAACCCATTGATGTCTCTCTGACATTAATATTTCTTCTCTTTCTCTCTCTCTCCCTTCCACTCTCTCTGAAAATCAATGGCAAAATATCCTCGAGTGAGGATTTAAAATATATATATAACAAAATAAATAAATAACCTCAAGCTATGAAATAATAATTTATCTGTAATGTTCGTCTGGGCCTCAGTTTCACCATCAATAATCTGGGATTAAAAATAAAGTTATGAATGAAATGAGAATTTAACCATAATGTTTGGCACTTAGTAGCCTCAGTAAACATTATCCACCTCCAGACAGACACACACACACACACACACAAGATTTTCAAAACAGTAAATTTCCCTTCATATCATTCATCCTTGTGGCCTCACCTTTAATACTCCTCTATCTTTTTTAGAGGTAATATCCTCTCCCTGTTCAGCAACAGCTGCTGCTGGGTTTTCTCCATTGTTTTTGGCACCTTCATCAGTAGTCATTGTCTTTTATAAGTTGAAAACCTGTTGAGAAGAAACATATTTTAGGAAAAATATCACTTCCTTATTCATCATAAAATGCTCCCGGTAACTGAGCATTTATGACCTGACCTAAGATTTACTTAGGGGCAATAAGGTTAAACAATGAAAAACAAAACAAAACAAAAAAACCCCACAAAGAACACTGACTATGAGCACATGTTGATATCATAAGGCATGTAAATACATCATCCAACTCTTCAATTTCCCATCCAGCTCTGGTCCCAAATTAGACAGCAGTATAAAATAGGCTTGGTAGTGATTATATTCCTTAACATAATTACACTTTGAGAACCAGTGCTTTCAGAACTTTGAAAACATCCTTTCCCTACAGCCATATTCTTGACAGAATTAAGAACTTATCAAGTGATCTGGTAAGAGAAATGTCAATCTAATCATTATCGGAAATAAACAGGCTTTGGAAGCTGACAGATCCCAGCCCGAGTCCTAGCTCCAGCAATATCTGTTTGATACTTGCAAACTTAATATCACACTGAGCTTCAGTTTCACATCTGTAAAATGGACACAGTACATTGCTCACACAGTTACTATGAGACATTAGTAAGAAAATGTATGTTAAGAGATTAGCACTGAATCAGAACTTAAAAATATAACCATTTATTATGATTATTATTAGGTCTTCTATAGAGTCACATCTTTCATTTCTTGCTCAAAAAAACCTACAGAATGAGGTTCTTCCCTAGCGTGATATTCAAGGTCCTTCACAGTCTGATCTTAATCTATCTTTCAGGTCCAGCGTGCACTACTTTCTTTGACTTTTTAAAATGCAGCTCAGGCTCTAGCCAAACCCAGACCAATTCCTCTTCCATAACAATCCCTGTGCTTTCCTATCTCCAAGCTTTTGTCATTCTTTTTCTTCCCCAAACATTTTCCCCCTTCAAATGCTCCCTCTAGCATATCAACCTTGACCTTATACTTGGTGGTGGTCTGCCCTTTTCTATACTTCCTTAGCTCTTCCCTTGATTTGCTGTCTAAAACATATTCATAAAACAGATTTGTTGGACTTAAAAGATCCTTGAGAGCATGGGCTATACTTTTGTTTATATATAGACTAGTGGCCTGGTGCATGAAATTCGTACACTCAGGGCGGGGGAGGGTGGACCCAGCCTGGCCTGTGCCCTGTCACAGTGCGGGAGCCCCACAATCCATTGCCCCAAAGAGGTAGGCCCCGCCCACCCATCCAGGGCTCTTCGATGGATTGCCCCAAAGAGGTAGGCTGGAGCTGGGGGAGGCCTGCAGATCCGGGCTAGGCCGCAGCGGAGGCCTGCAGATCTCCACGTGCCTGCGAACCCCTGGCTGGGCCCACGGCGGAGGGGCCTCTCCACGTGCCTGCGGACCCCCGGGCCAGCACAGGGGAGCAGGGACTCGAGCCTCATGTCCCCGGGCCTGTTGCCAGGGGTGGGGACGCGAGTCTCATGTCTTTGGGGCAGTGCAGGGGGCGGGGACGAAGCCTGCTGATCGGTTGTTATGTGACGGCATCCCAACCGATTTGCATATTATCCTATTATTAGATAGATTCCTTAGAATGTCTCTACCTTTCAAATTAGTAAGACAGAAAGGACAAAGAATTTGGAGCTCCTTTCAAGCTATTTGATGTTGGCTACTTTAACTTCGTATAAGCCTTTTTCCCCTGCCTGTGTAAGTAGAATAACAGCAATATGTACTTTCACAGAGTGATCTTCTGTATTAAATGGTATAATGTGTATTTTTAAAAAATATATTTTTATTAATTTCAGAGAGGAAGGGAGAGGGAGAGAGATAGAAACATCAATGATGAGAGAGAATCATCAATCGGCTGCCTCCTGCACAGTCCCTATTGGGGATTGAGCCCGCAACCTGGGCATGTGCCCTGACCGAGAATCAACTGTGACCTCCTGGTTCATAAGTTGACACTCAATCACTGAGCCACACAAGCTGGGGATAGTGTGTATTTTAAAAGTCTACTATCCCGCCGAAACTGGTTTGGCTCAGTGGATAGAGCGTCGGCCTGCGGACTGAAAGGTCCCAGGTTCAATTCCGGTCAAGGGCATGTACCTGGGTTGCGGGCACATCCCCAGTGGGAGATGTGCAGGAGGCAGCTGATCGATGTTTCTCTCCCATCGATGTTTCTAACTATCTATCTCTCTCCCTTCCTCTCTGTAAAAAATCAATAAAATATATTAAAAAAAAAAAGTCTACTATCCCAATGTTAGCTCTTAGTATTATCCGTCACCCAAATGATGGACATTTTTTTCATGCAAGGCAAATCAGTGCTACCAAAGGCTAATTAATAGATGAAACAAAGCACACCTCACTAGTTACTGCCATGATTAATTCCATACTGCTCTCCTGGTTGAGCAGGGAAAGTCAAGAATTAGTCACTTCTATAGCTCTTCCATAATAGGCTAAAAATGAATGCATGGCTTCCTAAAGTCACCTGCTGGATCTTCTTCCCTACACAGTCAAAAAGAGCTATTTTACACTTGTGAAAATGTCTCAGAACAACTAAAACTACATTGTAGTATTTTAACTCATTTCCAATTGACCTAAATTTATTTCAGTGTCAACAAAGACACAAATCAAATTTTGCTGCCCCCCCAAAATCTCAAAGAGAACACCAAAAACCAGGGGCTAACCTCTTTTGCTTTATCTTCTAGTACAGTTTATGCCAAATACAAAAGATCCAAATGCTTGGCACAGGATAAGGGAAAGGCCAGAACAAAGCGCTCTCAAACAAACAACAACAAAAATTAAGTATCTGATTGCATGGGATGCTTGGCTGATAATTAGGAAAAGTGGATGAACAGGGCTTAGTCTCAGTGCCTAGAAACCTACCTCTTAGAACAGACTTCTCTGATGCACAGAAACTTGTAGAAGGCACCTCTAAAACGAGAGGTAAAATCTTTTAACTATTTTGGAGGTCATGGATTACATCCCTGGAAAAATACATACACACTGGGGTAGGATGGGAGAGGGAGAGGAGCAGCTGCTTCACAGATCCATCAATAGAACCCCAAGGGAAATCCTGAATTAAATCAATAAACAAATTAAAACCACCAGGTGAAAGGTTATTAGGGAATAGGGCAGTCCCATGTCTCAAAGCATGAACCTACAGCTGACTTGTTATTAAAAAAAGGAAAAAGGGCTTTGCAATGAAGTGATCTGACAGATGTACCCTTAATACAAGTGATCTACATCACAATCAAGCTCTGCATCACCAATAATACCACAAACTGATATCATTATGCCTTCTGATGTGAAGTAATGAAAAGTCCTACCAAAAATGCTTAACCTGAAACTAACCAAGAAAAAAAGACAAAATTAGGTTGTGAAACATTCTACAAGACAACTGGCGTAGACTCCTAATAATGTTAATATCATTAAAGACCAAAAAACTAATAAACAAACAAACAAAAGGTGGGGGCGGTGGCGGGGGGACTGCTCTAGTTTAAAGGAGACTAAAGAGACACAACAAACTCAATGTGTGGTCCTGGATTAGGGGACAAAAGTTATAGAAGTACATTTGGGGAAGAATTAGAAAAATTTGGAAAAACAGACTGCATATTAGATTACTATTATTATTGTATAATGTTAGCTTCTAGAACAGGGGTGGGCAAACTTTTTGACTCGAGGGCCACAATGGGTTCTTAAACTGGACCGGAGGGCCGGAACAAAAGCATGGATGGAGTGTTTGTGTGAACTAATATAAATTCAAAGTAAACATCATTACATAAAAGGGTACGGTCTTTTTTTTTTAGTTTTATTCATTTCAAACGAGCCGGATCCGGCCCGCGGGCCGTAGTTTGCCCACGGCTGTTCTAGAATCTAGAATGTGATACAGTACTGTAGTCTTATGCAGAACGACATCCTCATTCTTCAGAGACATATGCTGAAGTATTTAGGGTGAGATGTCACAAGAAGTCTGCCATTTACGTTCCAATCATTTAAGAAAAAGCATGTGCGAGCACAAATATTGCAAAAAACGAAACCAAAGCACCGAGAAAGCATGTCTGTAATACATCCAAAGGCAATGCTTTTCTTTTGAATGTTCATCATTTGGATCAGCTCAATTTTTTAATGCAAGTATTATCAATCAAAAAACATTTTATTGTGGGTCCTAACCCTGCCCTTTGGAAATAATGGCTTTCTAAAGTTCAAATAAATAGAAAACTTGTATAAGCTGATTTGCTCTTCAATCTCGACTTCAAGGGATGCAATGCAAGTATTCTTCATAATCTCAGAGAACAGTTCTGAGTAAAACGGAATCCATATGAAGAGGGGTAACATGAGTAATTAAAATGCAAAGATAAAACAACTTTTGAAGACAGATAAATGTGGAAGAATAAAGAAATAAATTGAACTTTCCAGTATTTCTCTTTAATTCCAGTTATGCCATTTGGGATATAAATTTTTGTAAGCAAACAAAATAAATTATTTAAAAAAGCAACTTTTTCTTTGATCTAGTATTATATGAAAAAAGACAGGCCCTGACCGGGTGGCTCAGTTAACTGGAGCGCCATTTGGTACACGAAAAGGTTGTGGGTTCGATTCCTGATCAGAACACATACCCAGGTTGCAGGTTCAATCCCCAGTCAGGGCGTGTGTGGGAGGCCGCCGCTCAATGTTTCTCTCTCACATTGACGTTTCTCTCTCTCCCCTTTCCTCTCTAAAACTAACTTGAAAAAAGAAAGAAAAAAGGCAGCAAAAACAGATGATTCCTAAGAACATGTAAGACACATCTACTTCTTGAGAAGTCCCCCCCCCTTTTTTTTCTTAAGAGAGCCTTTTCTTTTTTCTAACCTATGTTTATTCTGGATTTAAAATCACTATGTAGCTACGGATATTAATCTATGATAAAACTCGCTGTTCTGAACCACCGAAGGGGAGAAACTGCAACCCAGTACAGCAGAGAGGAACGTGCAGTTCCTTCTGTTATGGACATGCTAGATAAGCACATACTCTCCAATGTGCCAGTCAGTAAACAC